TGAACGTGGCCATTCTTGTGTGCCATCCTTTAAAGTATGAGGAAATAGGCACATTCGAAAAGCATGTGTTGATGTACTTTTGTGACTGATTACTTCGTAAAGCATTAAGAAAGTTTGAATGTGCTTATGCGAATTTTCAGTTGGTTTTTTAGAGAACCTGATATGTTGATGATTCTGAAATAAGTTAATGACATCTGATTGAATGTGGTAGTTGGCTTGCCCAAAAGGTAGATAGGTAATAGCCAGTTGCATAGGTACTTCGCCATCGTTTGCAATTGCTCTTGGCGGAACTGGAGAAAATTTGAATTTGAATTTGAATTTCTGACATTCCTTATGCATCTCTATTCTCTTCTTTGTTGTTCGAATTTCCTTTCGATCTCGGGATTTAGAGGTAGGTGCTTGATTTCATCATACTTTTACATAAACTATTAGAAAATCAAACAAAAAAGACTAGGTGTAACAATAAACAATTAAGAAAATTCAAATTCAATATAAACTAATAAACTTAAATTAAACACTTTATTCCTTGGCAACATCTTCAAAAATATGTTCGTGCGAAATCCACAAGCATATATGATCGTTGACAAGTAATAAATGTGATGAGTTGAACACGAGAAAAAATCTAATTCAAGAATACTAGTTTTCTATTAAATTCGAAGTAGGTAATATAAAAGAGATTATGATTTGTAATTATGCTAATAAGTATGTAAAAACATTTCTTTGTTTAAATGAATGAATAATTGTATTGAATTTAGAATCTGCCTATGGTTATATATTTTAATTCTCAATTATGTAATCTAGATTTATCTTTGCATTCTTGATAATCGAAGACCCTCTAGTATTTAACTTCTTTTTCAAGATAAATTAATTCTATTCTAAACACGATCCAACCCTATTCCTATTCCGAATTCGAATGAGTAGAACACATCCAATTTCATGATTATTTAGCTGATTGCACACGTGACATATGTTATTCCTAATATCTATTGATTGTGTGTTAGCCTTGCAACATTCTAAACCTAGTTGTGAACTTTTTAGGACTACAACAAACAACTAATTATCTAATTTGTGGCCAATTAATTAAATAATGTAACAGAAGTACAAGATTAAGCAAGAAACTCTAGAATTATCTAAACTACTAGTGTTGAATTAAAATAAATCAGCAAATGAGTTCATCTTCATCCAATACTAGGGATGGCAATTTAAACTGTCAAAATCGAAAATCGCGGTTAACCGAACCGAATGGGGCGAAAAAAATCGAACCGATGGTGCAATGGGGTGGGTATGGTTTTGATTTTAATAAACCGGTTCGTGGCGGTGCGGGTATGATATTTACGCCGTCGAACCGAAACCGAACCGATTACCCGCTAAAAGAAAAAAAAAAGAGCAAAAAAAAAAAAAAAACCACACAATTGAATTGATTTGATTATTGGGCTTTACACTACTTTTCTATCTAGCCCAAAACAAAATCCTCCACATTACATCTACCTGACTCAGCCGGCCAGCCCACTTACCATTAGCCCATAATAATAGCATTAGTGTGACAGTATATAATGCAAACCCTACTCTCCACAAACCATAAACTCACGCACGACTCATTTTATTATTAATTTTTTTCTATTATGTGTAGAAAATTCTACTTCTTCATCATACTCTAGAGCTTGTGCAACGTTTAGCGAGAAGGAAGCTGATGAAGATGTACATTTTTTTAATATTAGTTAAGACCATTCTGAATAGGTAGTATCGTTGTATTCTCGACTTACATTTCTTATTTACTATATAGGAATCAACTTTGAGTGCTGATCTATGCTAGTAAGACTTGTGAGGAAGAATGAATCAAGTAACTTCAATGCATAACAATTAAGAATGAATGAAAAGTTTAGTATTGTTATATTTATAATATTGTTTGTTAAATTTGTATTTTGCAATTGAAAATTGGGATAATGTTTGTATTTTCGTTTGAAATATTGTTTGATAATATTTTCATTTTCGTTTGGATTATTGTGTTTTTGTTTTCATTGACTTTTTTCATAAATTATTTTATATCAATTTGACGGATGAACCTATAAAAAATAATTTATTTTCGTGGTTAATAGCCGAACCGAGATACGAACCGAACTGAACCGATTGTGGTGTGGTTATGATATAGTCAAAAAATTGGTGGTGCGGTTATGGTTTTGGCCGAACCGACCCATAACCGAACCGTTGCCAACCCTATCCAATACCAACAATGATCTAGTATAGTATGATTTTATATAAATTATAAGAGGAATAATGAAAGGATGTCACCCAAATATGAATGAATGCAAGAGGTCTTGATCTTCTTTCCCAAAAGATGTGAATTCTTCTGCTATTCTTGATGAATTTTATGACATGGATGTGTATTAAGGGGCTAGAAAGAGATCGCCCATATGTAGTCCACGTTTTGAAAATTAGGTCAAGATCATGTTTAAATTGATTTTCAAATAGAGTTTTATCAAATAAGGAAATCGACTCCCATATTCCAGATTAAGGTGACTCACGCATACGGTAGGCAGTGGTACGAATGTGTCCCTTACATGATTCAACCACAGGTTGGGGAAAAAGGAAGTTGGGATGTGTGCGGTTTCGTCTCTGAGTAATTGTTAGTATTTTTTTCATATCTCTCTCTCTCTCTTATCCAATTAAGGCAATTCAATGTGATTTGAAAATCTAATTCAAAGAGTTACAATTCTTTTAGAAATATCATTTTTCCAATTTGAATGTTTACTATGTGAAAAATTGGTCTCAACTTAAGGCTAAAATACTTTTTTTTTCTCAAACTCACTTTTAACCACTTTCTCCCAATAAAATATTATGCATACAAATCTAATTTTTTTAATACCTTTTAACTACACATTCTATAAAAAATATCATTTGCTCCAAAAAAAAAAAAAAAAAACTCATTTTATTGCTGTCAAATAAGAGCTAAAACTCATTAGATTAATCTTCATACCCCACATATCTGGCTCCATGACTAATCAATCATATAATTAAGGGAATAATACATAAATTCTACATATAAGAAACATATTTTAAAACTAACAAACTCCATAAAAAATTTCAAAAGTCAGGTGATAAATCAATTTATTAAAATATAATTAATCACAACAAATTTCAAATCAAAGCCCTTATCTTCCTCTCTCTACTCTCTATCCTTTCTTTCTAATGGAGGCAGCCATCGGCTCCAGCGACAACGATTACTCTGACAATCTCTCCGATAATTGCTTCGACCATCGCTTCGAGGACTGCTCCAGCTCCAGTGACAGAAAAAATCTCTAAAAATTGAAAACAATTTCACTTTCTATACTCCACTGTAAAAAAATCTCCAAAAATTTATGAGTGACCAAATTTATTGTTCGTGACTAAACCCGTGTTTCATGTGACTATTTGCGATCAAATTTTTGTTGTTGTGACTGTATATGACTATCTAATTTGTAACTGTATGTAACAAATTCACTGACCTATGTTATCTATTATTAGCTATGATCAAATTAATCTTTGACGTGACTAATGTGATCAAATTTGTATTCAGTGTGACTGTTTGTGACAAGTGCAACCTTTAATTGTGACCAAATCACAACCAATCACAATCAACAAAAAATTGGTCACAAACGGTCACAACAAACACATACTTGGTCACATGGGATTATCACAAACAAATCTGCACACACCTCAGACTAATATATCCACCAACCAGCACCACCGATATCACGCCATCATTAGAACCACCATCAAACGTCGCGCGAACCTTAAAGAACGATGTAGACTACAATTCTTAAACACAAAATTTCATGAGCCAACTCAAAAAAAGAAAAAAAAAAAAGATTTTAACCATCCCAAATCTAAAAGTAACGAACACGTAGTGGACATTCTTTTGCAATTTCTTCAAGCACCGTTGGACCACCGTCGAACCACCGTCCCAACTCGCCGATCCCCAGATCTACAATCCCAAGCACCTAGCATCGAACCACCATTCCTTTAAGCACCCACCATCTCAACCAGTCACTGCTTATTTTTATTGTCGGACCACCATCGTACTCATTTTCAGAAATCGGACCACCCCAAGAATTTTATGCACGCAATGGCGTAGCGAGCAACTACTACGCGCCTCTACTTCCTCTAGCGGTTCTACTCCGCCCTCGGGGGTTAGGTGGGGATGACGTATTAATGGTAGAGCCTAGAGAGAGAGAGAAGATGAAGAGTGTGGGAGAGAGAGAGAGAGAATGGGGGTTGGGTTTGGGATAAAATCAAGGTGGTGGGATGGGGGTTATTATCAGGATTAAGTTTTAATTAAAATTTTTAATTACAATTAATAATCTTATTTACCACTAAAATTTGAAATTTAAACTTAATCACATTATTTATGAAAACTGGTCTTTAATTGTAGGGTTTTAGGTAATTTTCTCTATAATTAAGCCTTCGTTTGACACCTATTAGAGTTTTAATTTTAATTTTATGTTTTTGAAAAAAATTGAGTTTGAAGTAGTGATTTTTTTGAGAATATGTGGCGGAAAATTTGAAAAGAAAATTTAATTTATATGTAAAATATTTTATTGTGTGAATGTGATTGAAAATGACTATGAAAAAAGGATTAAACTGGATGTATAGATGATGAAATTATAGACCTTCTACAGGTCATTCTCATGGAGGTCGGGCCCATGCGGGACCCAATGCATTAAAAAATGGCCAAATATAACACCGACTCCACCCATTGTGATTGATATGTAAAACATCAATAAGAATCCTCCCTATAAGTGCAGGTCGGTCCATGAAAAAAATGGATGACAAACATGGCTAAATCCCCAAGGGCATTATCGTCTAATCATTTGACTAACAGTAGACACGTCCCCCCAAAAGTCAATGCAACATTGATAGATAAAAAAGGGTATAATCGTCAAATCACAATTCATACATCGGTCCTATAATAGGAAGTCCATTATGCGAAATGCAAAACCACCTACGCGTCAACCATCCATAAGGTTGTCGGCTCTTTTCCGTAACTGAGGAAGCCATAAGTTTTCCGCCACGTGTCAACCCACTCCAAAACCAGAAAAACCACTAGCTGTTTTTGCAGAAGCGGTTTTGCAGTTCTACCTCCCACTTGTAGTCATACTTTCCTTATATAGCAGTATTCCGAAACTTCGGTAGCAACGACAGCTTTTGTACTACATGTACACCTTCCAACGGTAAGTTTTTTCTTTTTCTTTTTCAAGTTTTTTTCTTGGAATATGTATTCAAAAATGATAAACCACCTTACTATCTTCTTCATAGAGCTGTGTATATAGATATAAATTTTTTTTTCTTTATTTTTGTGGGATTTACATGAATAAATTATTAACCATGTAGAGAGAGAGAGAGAGCGAGAAAAGTTAGTTGTTCGAGGGAATAATAATGGGGAGAGGGAAGATAGTGATAAGGAGGATCGATAATTCGACGAGTCGGCAAGTGACATTTTCGAAGAGGAGAAATGGGCTGTTGAAGAAGGCTAAGGAGCTTGCGATCTTGTGCGATGCCGAGGTCGGGGTCATCATCTTCTCCAGTACTGCCAAACTCTATGATTTTTCCAGCACCAGGTCATAAATTATTCATTTTAATTATCGTCTTTAGTATATATATACACACACATACATACATGTTCTTACGATTTTTTCGAGGCTTCGAGTTTTATTGTTTGTGATTTTGTAGCTTGCTATTCTCCAAGATCGATCTATGTAATCTTGTTAGCCAATTATTTCAAAAATGTTGTAGGTTTTTTGCATAACTAGATGGCAAAGTTTGTGCATAATATTTGGTTTTTATTGTTTTTTATTTGTGAATTATGGGTACTAAAATATTATTCAAACTAGTAAGTTGGAGATACTGATACTTTGCAAACACAAAATGCAATAGATTTGTAAGATTATGGCATGTTTGAAAGGTGGATTGATGGTGGTAATCATGAAAAAATTAAGCTAAGAACTTGTATTGCCTAATATTGTCTAGTACAAAATGTTGTATTTCCATTGTAGTGTAACATTTTTCTTACCTTCTCCACCTTCCAGGGTAGGGTGCACTAGCCTTTATTATCCATCCCATTCAAAGATTTTAGGGTCCACCCTTCTAGTGTGTCTCCCTCGTATTAATCTAGCTTGGAAGGGTTCCACAATAGTTGAATTCTTGTACACCTTACTCATTCTAATGGCTCTCTTTCTCGACACATGTCTTATTTTATAGCAAAACATATTCATGAGAAACTATACTTGAGCTATCATTGCGGTTTTAGTTAACAAGCCAATCGTAATATGTGTATAAGCCTCATCATTTCACTCTCATAAGGATGTGTCTCTCATTAATGGATATCAACAATGCTTTTCTATATGCTCTTAGAGAGTTTTCGCATAGCAACCTCAAAATTATTTTATTTTACTTATCGAGTTTATTTTAAGCTTCGTATGGCTATTTATGGCCTCAAACAAGCACTTCGAAGTGATTTTAGTTGTGACATCTCTATACCCTTTTGTAAACATGTTATTGTCACAATGCACTTGTTTGTGTATGTTGATGGTCAACCATTCTTATAGGTCATAAAGTAGATTTCACGTAACATTTCTTTGAGATCTAACAAATAAATATCAATTAAATGGTGGGGATCAACAAAGTACTTTCTTAGTGTTGAAATGCTATCATCCATGGCGGAAGGTCTTCTACTCAATCGACATAAATATATCTATGATCTCCTTACTAAATCATCGTGCGTAGTGCAAAAGATGTCACAAATGCCTATGTCCAGCCATAGCAGCTACACCCCATGATAGCTCACCTCCTTTAAATACCATCTTGTAGTTCAAAGTAGTTGGCTGCCATGACCTGTCTAAATAATTGTCATATTATGTTATATGGTTGATGGTGCAAATGACCTAAAAATGAAAGAATATTATAAACCTTGATCCATCATAATACCATCTACTATTATTAGCCATTTTAATTTTATTACTAAATTCTTTATTTGATCTAACACCTGCAACAAACGCAACCTAATTGTTCATTTCAAACTGAAACATATCTTAATCGGCTACTATATTGTCATAAATCAAGCATATTGAATGTGGTTCCTATATCGTCTCATATATAATCAGTCCTTAGTTATCGTATCCTCTTAGAAAGCCTCCCTCCTCTTAGTGGTTACCTACATGATTATCTCGAATATGAGTACCATCTTGTGAGGCATGATAGAGAGTTTACTTTCGACTCCTCAAATCAAGTGATTCAAGAATGCTCCGAAATCAATTCACTTGAGTGAGACATAGGAGACCGGAATTTCGTGTGTAGGAACTTAAAGTATTTTTTATTATGTTCCAATAGATATCGTAATAGCATATAATTACTTCACCCAATATAAATGACTTTTTCACTCTTTTATCTCCCCCTCTTTCCTTATTTTCCCTTATTCCATTCTCATGTGTAGGCCCTCATTTTTTGGGACTTTGATTTGTTTAAGATGGCTGTTATCTTCCAATAATAAGAGACACTTCTGAAAGGTTGGACTGATACTAGTATAAAATAGCAGAGCAGCCAGCTTCGAGTTAAGAATCAGTCATTCATGCAGGGTGGTTAAGAAATATATACGTATATGTGAATCTTCAATAAACTTAAAAAATCTAACGAGTATACAGTTTGTTTAAGAACAAAGTCAAAGAATTATTAATGTTGTTATTATTTTTTACAACTATTTTAAGTCGCCAACTTTTGCACACACCAACGTATACATACATAGTATAATTAGTATAACACCATTTTCTTTCAGAAATCACAAAAGCACATATTACAATTTTACAGTACATTTTATCGAGTAACTTCACATATCTTTGTATTCACAAGAAAATGGCCTATCCAACTAGTGTATATGGAACAAAGCCCTTCCCACTTATTTATTATTTTCAATAGCTCCTAGGTACGCTGAGGTATATAACTCCTAAGTCGTAGGAGAAATTTCTTCGTAAGGGGGTGTGTACAATTAGTTTTTACTTTTGGCACACCTTGTTACGAAATACATAAAGGTACTTTAAAACGGTAAAATACAAATCAAACAACTTAATAAAAACACTCACATGCTAACTTTAACATCTTGGTGAGAAATTATCTACATGATAAAGTATGTAACAAAAGCATCGAGTGTTATAGCTCATTTGGTAGGGGAACCTCTTTGACACGCTCATCAATGATTTTCAAGGCAGTCCATCATACAACAAAATCATGCATCTAATTTGAGAAATTAATGTCTTACTCCATAATTGTGAGAGAACAATATTCGGGCACTGTCTCGGAGAGAGGCTAGATGAAATAAGCATGTATGTGAAAATGTGGACTACCTGTACTTGGACAGAAAGATCCTATGAAGCTTCATTGTTCCCTGGGATTGGGTTTGGGCCTTTACTGCATAGTTTAGGTGGAGGGCGAAGAAGGCCTCCTTCCGAGGGGGCCCGAACCATCAACGAGATATCACTTTGGAAGAGTTAGAATTCTAACCTTGTGTCAGGACATGGTATTTACATGAGGTTCCTCTTTCAAAAAGTCACCGAAAGGACTTAATTGATCCTTGATGTATGTTATGACCAATCCTTTTGATAAACTCAACCAAAAGCGAAAAGGGATAAAGAACACCATTGAAATTTGTTGACTCACACCTTGAAATCCAACACAACCATTGTTTCTTATGTCAAATTGCATATTTCGCCCCATTTGCAGAAGCAAGTTTTCTTCAACATTTTGGGCTATTATCAGGCATACGAACTCCAACTACTTTAGTTAATTGGTTCTCATATCTAAGTGATGGGTAGGAAAATATGGATCCTCATTGAATATTGGTAGACCGTTATCTACAAAATTTTCAATTTCTCCGTTGAAAATTGAGTGACCATCGTAAATGAAATTCAAAGATTCTTCCACTTTGAATTATTGAAAGAAGTAAAAAGGGTTTTGCCCCAAAACAAAACTTTTGACATTATCAAAGTGCCACTGATTCTATCATGAACGAACACCTTGCTTCGATACCAACTGGTGTAGTTTTATAGAGGTGAAGTGATAGAAATAAATAAACGAATACATTATCAAAGTGCCACTGATTTCAAAGGAATGATGCAACACCATCACCTTCTAGCTTTGTTGATTTCTAGGAATACCAAAAATCTAGGCATAAAATACAGAAAATTTGGACTCATTGATTTTGAATATTAAATACCAAAAATTTAAGAATTTGAAGATCTCAAGAATTAATATTTTCTTTCAATTCAAAAATCATGTACTGCTATTAAGACTTGCAACCCTTAATTTAAAGCAATAACTAAAAATCAAATAAAAACTAAATTAAAAATAATGAGACTCAATCTTCATCAAGGTTAAATGTAGATAAATGCCAAAATTAAAGATAATGACTAAAATTAATGATGAAGACTCAGTCTTCATCACAAATGGTTTGGTCTGATTTTGGTGCCCATTTAGGTACCAAATAGAATCGTAGAATGATTTGAGATATTGATGATAATAGCACCCTGTTCTAATACTATCCATTTCTCCATGCCTATTCAACTCTTACTTTTGATACCAAATATTCTAAAACATTAATGGAGGTTTGCAACTCTATAGTTATGGATCCCTTGTACATTTTATGATCCTCTTCTTCATCTTCGAGTTAGAGATTCCTTCACCTAGCAAATAAGTGATGGTGTGAGCTCTAGTCTCTGTGTGTGTCCATTCATTTTCACCTAGTAAGGTTACCGATAGTAGAGACAAAAAATGTGAACACTTGTCCAACAAATATTGTGATGTACACATCACAAAACCATAAAACAAAAATAGATACCCAACTATCTTTGGAAATAACTCCACATTTCTTTGTTTATGCAAGAAAAGGCCTACCCCCCAACTAGTCTTGTGTGCATTAAAGTGTACTTTCAGAAGACCTTATTATGAAACATAAAGTCCTAGATTTAGTGAAAAACAATTTAGAGGGAGTTGATGACGTTGTGTCTATGAATTGAAAAATTATATGACTTTTTGAGGTATCTCTAGACAATTAAATTTGTTGCCTACCAAAATACTTGGACACTCTAAAGAACATCAATTTGTTTGTTGAACTTAGCCTTTTAATTGTGAAGACAGTTTCTAGAGTGCCAAGGTGTTCAATGGCTTACGTGTAAAAATCAACGTTAGATTTTAATAGGACTTGGAACAGTCTAATTCGATCAGATTTCGAACGGAATCGAACAAAACTGAGTGCCAGTGAAAATCTTAAAAATAGAACCATTGATTCTATATCCAACAATGGAAATGAACAAGAACCGAACAAATTGGTTCTAGTCTGATCCATGTCGGTTCTTTATATTAAAAAAATAAAAAAATAAAGTATGAAACTACTAATCAGAATAAAAATAGATAAAAATTGTGTATGAAATCACTTGTCATTCCTGTAATCTAATAATGAAAAATCAATTAAATAAGGAAACAAATAAAATCCAACTTTATTGCTCAAAGATCAACTGATAAAAGCGGAAAAAAAATGATAAACTACAAATCTAGATAGAAATTTAATTCTTAA